AATTTATATAACTTTAAATTTATTACAAGCTAATAATATTATAAATTTTATTAATAATAGATATATATAAAAGAATCTTTTTTGAATATATTTTGAGTACTTTATTAATTCTATTTTATTTATTTATTTAGTTTTTCTAATATTTAATAATTATATAATTATATAAATTATATAAATATTAGTTTTTACTATAAAAATGGAATTTTATTCTATATACTTTTATCTTATATTATATATATTCTTTAATTATCTGAAATTTCTTTTATTAAACTTAAGAAAGAATACAATAAAAACTATAATATACTTTATATTAGTAATAATAAATTAATAATTAAATATCTATTTATAAATACTTAAACTAATATTTATTTTAACTTATACTTTAATAATAATTATTAATATCCAGAAATTTAATCTTTCAATTCTAATACTATTAGTAAAAATTATTTTAATTTTTTATTAAAAATTGAAATATTAATATATCTTTACTTTAATAACTTATTTAGTTATTCAAGTTAGCATTTTTTATATTTAATAAAATATTATTTTCTATAAATTTTAATTAATTAATATATATTTTATTTAAGCAAGTATTATTAAAAAAGTAAAATTATTAAAGTTTGAACTTGAATCTCTTAAAAAAGAAAATAAGATACTAAGAAAGAAAATATATTAATAAAACAAAATTATATATTAATAAAGAAAAAATTAAAAATCTTTAAAAATTCTAATATTACTCTATTAAAGTTAGTATAAGTATCTAGTTTTAATTTAAAAAATAAAAAGTTAATAAATAATTAAAAGAAAAAATCTTTATTATTTATATAAGTTTTTATTAATAATAAATCTTGATAAGTAATAAGAAAAATAAATAAGATAATAAATAAAATAGTTAAGAATATAAAAAAAAAGAAAAGATTATTTAAAGTAAGATAAATAATAAACTAGAAAAGTTATAAAAATAAGAAGTTAGTATATAAAAGAGATGTAAAAGTAATAAATATAAAAAATTCTTAAGTAAAAAAAATAATATTTAAGATAAATTTTTTAATTTTATATGATAATAAAAATATATTTATATTATATTAATTATATAAATAATCAATTTTTTTAAATATATATTATTTTTATCATATTATTTATAATTATTAAAATTATAATTTTTTAAATTATATTTTGTATAAATAATAAATTAATAAAAATTTTAAATAAAATTAATTTTATTTTCTTATCAGTTTAAAATGAATTATATTCTTTATTATTAGAATAAATTTGATATATAAATAATTTTATTTATAAACTTTTATTATTGAATACTATTAACTTTATTATAATTATCTTATATATACAATGTGTTACAAAAAAAATTGACCAAAAAAAGTTAGTAATTACTCAACAATTTATATATCAATTTTTATTTAGTAAAATTTATTAAAAAGCTAAACAACTCTAGTTTTATTTATGTAAAGTTTAATAACAAATTCTTTTACCATTATTTTTAATTATAAGTACACACCTGTTCTTTATTGAATTGACAAGATTAATTAGAAGATTATTTGGAATTATTTTTTACTCTTCTATCATAAACTATTATAATTTGGCCAAATTACTTGGCATTTGTAATTCTGTATTTCTTTTGATAATAGCTCACAAATTTTCTATAGGATTTAAATCAGGGCTATTGGAAGGCTAATTGATTACTTCTAGAATATTTTTCTTAAGAAATTCTTTGATATAGTAACTTGTATGCTTGGAGTTATTATCCTACTGAAATCTCTAATTATTTTCAAGCATACTATTAATATCTTGAAGATGTTTTTCAAGTATTTTGATATAGAATTTTGCATCCATTATCTGTATGAAGCAGAATAAACTTGTTTTTCTCCTAATAGAAAATCCACCCCAGGTAAAAACTTTTTGTTAATTTTTTGGAAATTATTTAGTTGGATGTTGATCTTTATACTAATGCTTAATTATATTTCGAAATAATTGAAATACAGTTTTGTCACTGAATAAAGTTTTCTCTCATGAGTTATTAATATGTTTCTTAGCCCACTCAATATATTTTGTCTTGTGAGCTTCCATTAATATAGGTGTACTGATTGACAACTGATTTTTATAACCCAGTTCATCTAAATACCTTTTGATTGTAACATAACTTATATTTATATCATATTTAAAAAGTTTTATAGCTAAATTTCTCAATGACTGAGTAGGATTTCTTCAAATAAATTGCCCAAGAATTCTTGTTGCATTTGGTATAACCTTCTTTTTTTTCTATTTCCTTTTCTATAAGCTAAAATTCCCATTTCTTTTAACTTTTTATTATTATATTTAATTGTAGAGAGTGAAATATTAGTTAATTTATGAATTTCTTGTACATTATATACACCCTTGTTAAGAAAGTGTAATATTATTTGATGATATATTTCTAGACATGATGATGTCATGTTTGAAGCTCTAATACATGCAAAAATAAATGTTATCAATAAAAAAATTTTGCCACATAAAAGTGAAAGAGTAATACTTTTATATAATTTAGTATTATACGTGTTTATTTACATAGGTAAAAAGTTGTCACATTTTAAATCACATCTACATTTGGCCAACTTTTATTGTAACATACTATATAATAAATAATATAATATATTATAATATGAATCAAAAAATATATATTATAATATAAAAAGATAAGTTATTATAATTTCTTTTAGTTTTAATAATAAACTAATAATTTAAATATTATTTCATTAATAGTTCTTTTTATATAAATTATTTTTTATATATTTTATTCTTTTTAATTTTTTTAATAATATTATATATTTTGATTTCAGTTTAAAATTTAATTTTAAATTTTATCTTGTTTTTATTTTTCAAGTATATAAATATTATATTAACTTAAAAAATTACTATAAATAATAACTTTAATTTGATAATAAAATTTTAATTAGATTTAGTTTTAACTTTAATATTAGTCTTAACTTTAATAATCTAGATTTATTAAAAATAATAATAATATTTTTCAATTTATAATCAGATTATCATAAAATAATCAATATTTATTAAGAATTAAGTTATATTTTTATAAATTTTAAATCTTAAATATCTATTTTGTATATAAAATAGACATTTAATTTCGATTTATCAATTTTTATTATTATAATTGTAGTAAATTCTTTTTTATTTTTTAATTTTACTATAATAAAATTAGTCATTTAAATCTTTATTTTATTTTTTTATAAAAAAATTTTTTTAATAAAATTTCTTAATATATTATTATTAAGTTATATTTAGATAGATTTGTTATTAATTTAATTATTAAATTTAAGTAATCTTTTATAATTATCTTTTAAATAAGTAAATTTAATCTTTTTTTACTAATATAATAATTTTTTATAATTTTTTAATATCATATATTTTAATTTTAATTTTTAAGTAATAACTCTTTAAGAAATAATCAGACTTCTATAATTATAATATAAATTTTTGAATTTATTATTCTTTTAATGATCTTTTAATATAATCTTTACTTGATCTAATTTTATTAATATTACTAATTTCTTTTTTATTAATATTAATAAGGATCAATATTATTGAATTTATTTTGTATATTCACAAATTATTCTTGTTTATATATTGTTATATTATAAAAAATAACTAATTTTTAGATATTAACTGATTTCTATTTTATAATAAATTTAAGTCTATCAATAAAATATTTTACATGTTCTAGATCATTTATATTTTTTATTTATTAAAAATATTACTGAATTTGATATTAATATTCTGCATAATTCAATTTTCAACGAAGATATAGTTGATAATAAAGATATTGCTAATAATGGAATAATTGAAATTTACTATTTAATTCTTTAATAAAATCTTTCTATTTTATAAGATACAATAATTTTATATTTATTAAAATATCAATATATAATAATATTTTCTAAAATAATAAATATAATTTCAATTTGTATAATTCAAACAAGAATATTTTAAATTCTTCAGAATAGAATAATAATTTAATTAAGTAATAAGATGAAGATTTTGAATTAATAGAACTTTTTATCTTTTTTTGATATTTCAATTAATTTAATCAAGATCTTTATAAATTTTCAAACTAGTGATTATTTGGTTTGCTATAATTTTATTAATAATAACTAGATGTAAAATATATTATATATAATATAATACATGTATATATATAAACCGTATGTTTTTGAAACAAATGAAGTTTCTTTCATATATCACAAATAGAGTATGTCTTATGTGAATCGATTTACATATGAAACGAATTTCACATTATGCAAATATTGTCATTTTTAATTTCTCTTGATTTTTTCGGCTCAATATCTAAAAGAAAAAATTAACATCAAGTTGATGCACAAAAATGCGTATGAAGAACGAGAAAAGAATATATATAAGATATGTACTTTTACATGTATGTTGTAATTAATAACATTAAATCGAATATTCACTTTTCTATACCTTTTAATCAAAAGGTTAAAAATAACAAAGGATTTTTACAAAAAAACATGATTAAACTTTAGTTCAGTTAGCTCGAATTCTTAAGCACGTCACTCTAATTTCTATGTTGAAGATAGAGTTGGAATCGGTTACGAGTATACAGTATTTTTAATTCGAATATAATCCGGATTGAATTTTAATATTTAAAACATAACCGGTTGCAAACTCTAGTTGAAGAAAAAATCTGGCATTATTCAGTAACCTCAGTTACATCAATTCGTAAAAAAATTAATGAAATTGATAACAAATATGACATTTACTTTGATTTTAAAGACATTCACTTCACTGTAGTAGTTTTTATATAAATAATCAAATCCAATCTCACAAAATAATTTCCAGTATCTTTCTTAAATAAGTCATTAGTTCATTCTATTTCCGAATTAATGAAGGAAACTTTTAAATTACTGCTAAAAAAGTCTAATAAATTAATTTCAAAATACTGAACATAAAGTTCATATATATGCTATTAATTTTTAATCCTGGTCAAATTTTAGCATTGTATGACACCATTGATTTGTTTGCAAAACTCGTGCCGTTGCTATAATGTCCATCTGCCCAAAGAATAAAGAAAATTCTATATCTAGCTTTTTACCACGAGAATCTTTTGGAATTTCTATGAAACAAATATTAGATAATAAATGTTAGATAATAATAATAAAATAATCTCAAATTATATAAAAACTAACCAATTTCTAATTGTCCTAAACGCTTCAACTCATCACAATATAATTCATTTTCGCTGCTTGAAGTATATACAGGAAAATAGACAATCGTTTGATCAGGACGAGATGTAAAATATTGTTTTTTGTATTCTTTATTAACATCCGCTTCTTCGCCACACGTTGCTAATTTGTCGAATACTTTAATAGAACCATTTGCTCCTTTACGCTCTGTAGGGTCCTTTGTTGGGTCCCATTGTCTGTAGCATTCTATGCCGTATGTCCATTTTAGTACTCGTGTTTTTACAGAACTTTCGTTAATGCCTATTATATCAATTATCATAAACTTTATTTTAAGTGTTAAAACAAATTTTGTTCATTTTAAATTTTAATCTGCTTACCATACTAATAAGTTTAAAATTATAGAGCTAGTTAGAAATTAATCATCATAATAATAATAGAAAATAAATTATATAAAAGACTTACTAAAACAGCGCCACGAACAATAGCAGTAACAGCTTGATGCGGTGCACAAACCATAGTCGATGATGTTTCAAATTTCTCCTTTACACGCTTTAGCAAATATGGTGATTCTCCAAACCCTCCACATAAGAAAATCGCCTGACATTTACATGTAGCTGTTGACGCGTCAATCTGTTTCTGAATTAAACTGATAATCGAATCAATAACTGGCTCGAACATTGATTCTACTGTGTCAAAGTCGAGAACAATTTGCCATTGCTCTTCTACCAGTTTTGTTCGCATTTGAGAATCGACGTATTGTAACGCTGCTGGACAGTACTCTTCGATGTCCAATGTTTTCGTTCTATAATCATTTCGGTTACCCGTAAATAATATTTTTACCTGTCGTACAAAGAAATCTTGAACCAGATATTGAAGTTGATTATAATGATGTTCTTTTAGGTTTAAAACTGCTTGCATTCCAATCTTTTTCGACAAGAATTTTAAAAATTCCCTAACAATTCGAAAATAATCAATTTTTAGAATATAATTATTTTTTAAAATCAAATAGATTTTTTCGTTACTTGCCTATCAACATATGCACTCCCACAATAAGCCCCTGTACGCATAGTAACTTCGCTAATTTGATTTCCTGGCAACAATATTCGCGTTGTCAAATCTATTGTACCGCCTCCACAGTCAACAATCATATATGGCTCTAATAGGAATGATATAATGTGATAGAATATTACTGTAATCACTTCGTACGTAATTATATTTTACCGTTATAAAATAGTTACCATGATTTCTTAATTGATAATTATTAGCATAATGTAAACAATATAGTGCTGCTGCTTCCGCTATTAAAATTGAATGTTAATAATTTTCAAATAGCAAGTTTAAAGAAAAAAATCTTTTTTAATTACGTTCTGTTGTGAATGTCAAATTTTCTGTATCTTTTTTATTTATTAATCCCGCATCAAATGCACATTTTCGCATAATAGCTTTTGTGTTTTCAATAAATTCTGCGGGTATAGTCACTACTATTCCAATATCGTTATGGAAATCGAGATTCGGCCAGTTTCGTTCCAATCTTACTTTGATCGTCTATAAATCAAATGTTAAAACAAAAGATTAAAAATACATAAGACATAATTATAAAATAATTACTTTTCCTATTTCGCGCAGATAATCCGTGATTGCTTTCTGATAATTTAATCCGATTGGTAACAGAGGCTTCTCATCAGCTGGGATATCACCTAAATGTAATTTGAACAATTCCACTGGTTTATTGTCTGATATTTGACTGCCACCTTTTGCTTTCAAATTTGGTTTTTGTGATAAAGCTGGATATCCCCAATTTATAACATTCCAATTACTGTCATATTCCAACGCAGTATTAGTCTTGAATTTTCCCCAACCTCCAGGCCTAAGAAATTTAATTACTGTATAAATTTATGAAATTGAAAAAATATCTAATTAATTTAAAACTATAAATATTTTACCATTCAGTATTAGTCTCAATATTATCAATATTTATTAGTCCATTATTTAGGGGTCGAGGACAAAATGCGAATCCACCTATTTAAATCGAATTAATTTATTGAAAACAAAAAAACACTTTTCGTGCTTACTTTCTGTCGTTCCAAAATCTAGTAGGAGGATACTGAAAATTAGTAATCGAATTAATCTTATGATAAATTGGTTTTGAAATTTCACCTATTCCAACGACCAATTGAGTTTTCTTTCTCTCAGCTAATACTTGTTGTGGAGTATTAAAACCACTCATTGAGTGTATCACGTAATTTTCTCTGGTCAGCGTTTCTCTATCTTTTGGAGTTAAGGTTTTTACCTCATGATTGGTAACGTAATTGCTAGAATTAAGCGTTTCTTTATTTATTGGCATTTGAATTTTTAACTCATGATTGGTAACGTAGTCGCTAGAATTAAGCGTCTCTCTGTTTCTCGGGGCTAACTCATGATTGGCAATGTAATTGCTAGAATTAAGCGTTGGGCTTGTTGCCATTTCATTAGGACGGGTTAGTCTTTCATTTTCATACGTGCCATCTTTACAACAGATGGCGCCCATTGCTATTTTATATTTTATAATTGGCTTTTTTTGAATCTTACGTTAGGCCTTTTATAACTATTGGTTAGCAAGATTTTGTATTGTCATTATCTTACTTCCAAATTTGATTGTACATGTACATGTACATGTATAAATGTAACTCGTTTTAATCATATTGTATATTTTTGAAACCTGTTTAAACTTGTTTATATATTTTTAGAATCTGTAACTGAAATACATGTAACATATGACAAAAAATTGTAAAATCATCAATACATGTACATGTATGTATAAAAAAGTACATGCACTATAACATAATAAAATTTGCAATTTAGTTAATGTCAAACATTATAGGTAAAATTCTACATGTAATAATTAGAGTGTTCGTTTGATTTTATTTTCTATATTACTAAATTTGTTATCGCAATTCATAAAAATCAAAACAAATTGCTAAGTAAAATTTATATATAAAATAAACATTCATGTACCTAATGAATATTGCCTATATAATCCACTTTGGATATAACGAATCTCCTTGTAACGAACTCTTGATATGACGATATTAGTTCGTTAAACATGTAAAAAGTGCAACGGGCTATATAAAAATTATATATCGAACTTTTTTTAGCACATCACTGATTCTTATACAAAGAGTTGACTGTAAACAGCGATTGAATTCTGTAACAAATTACTAACTAAAATTTAACAGCATACTATTAGAATTTAACTATTAATATTTGAAATTGTGAATAGCTTCCACTTTGAATGCAAAATTTTATTATGTTGTGCATATTCAACATGATAGACGAGTTTTATTATCACCTAAGAGTTACATTAAAGATAGACTGAATGATTTACACAGAGTGAGGTATTCACTAGGGTTCTAAAGATCTCCTATGCCAATCTTTCACAGAAATTACCGCATCTTCAAGAGAACCTTGTTCGCGCCATCTTTTATTAATATGAGAGACTGTTGAGGGGCTAATATTTTTTGACTTTGTTATTTGTCTTGTTGTATATCCATTTTGAAGAGCAATAAGAATTTGTGCGCGCTCTTCTGGAGTTGTGTGGCATCTTTGTCTTTTAGTTTGTTATCCAAAAAGCTGCAACATCAAACGATATGTAAACAATACACAATAAACTTACCTTTTTATGTTGCACGACTATGAGAGAATTATAAATAATGCAACACAAGTTTGGTCCTATTTCCGTATTTATCTAAAAATAGAAAATAATAATATCTATTAAAATTTTAATATATTAAAACAATGCTATTAAAAAGCAAAATTATTAATAATGCAAAAAGGTTACATTATAATTTTCGTGAAATATTTCAATTCAACGAAATTTTTTTTTGTTTTTGTTGTACTAATCATGTGAGGTGGTCATAGATGTACTCAATTTTTTCGTGTTACGTCAAAGTAAATAAAGGACATAACCCATCGTCCTCTCCATTTTTAATACAATAACAATAAAAAATCAAAACATGGACCAGCAACAAACTGATATAGAAACTGCAATTAATGATTTACTGATTGTCTTTGACAATATCGTCAAAAATTATGCAAATTTTGGTACAAATTTAATAAAGCTTGCTACAATTATATTGGAAAAAACAAAAAAACCCTTGGATAAAATAAATCTTTTACAAAGGCTACAAGATAATATACAATATCATACAATTCTAGGCTTCATTTATCATATGGGTTTGAATACTGAAAAAGATTATGATCACGCTTTACAATATTATCAACAAACAGCAACTCAAGG